GCACCTCACAACAACAATATATATATATATATATATATATACATAATACATATATATACAGCATTAAGTAAAATATATTATTAAAATTAATGCTACTGTTTCCATTTACTTTAAAAATAATACTTTATTTTACTTTTGTTTGTAATTGTTGAGAATCTGCACAATAAAACAAACACCAGTTCTACAACTTCTACATATAAAATTCATTGGCATTGATCACATTCTTCCAGGTGTACAACCTTCTCACCTTCCTTTGCCAAGGTAATCCTTCTCCATTAACATGAACTCACAGCCCTCCCTCAATTTTCTGCCTAATCTTTTGAGTTGCTACTGTTAAATTGATCCCATTTGATAGATCTTAAAATAGCACAATGTTCAAGGCAGATATTCTCTACAAGTTAAGTGGCTTTAGTTTTAAGATTTCAAGGGGTATTTTTGGTTTAAGGTTTAAAGGCTGTCTCTTGGCAATAGTTCCAGGGATTCATCTGGTCTCTTGTTGTTAAGTGTCATCCAGATATTTCTTACTCTTGTGACCCTGTATAGAGTATTCAAGGAGCAGCTGGTGGGTTTGAACTGCCGACATTGTGGTTCAAAGTCCAGTGCTGATCTTAAAGCACCACACCAAGAGTCCCATCTAACCTCTATGCCTTCATAAAATCTGTAGTCCACGAGAATTTGAAATTCTCTCATGCATTTTGCCTCCTTTCATAGCATGTTGTTGTTGTCAGGTGCCATCGAGTCGGAACCGACTCATAGCAACCCTATGTACAGCAGAACGAAACAATGTCCAATCCTGGGCCAACCTCACTGCCGCCACCACACTTGACGCCATCAATGATGCCACCTGGCTGATCCATCTCATTGGAGGTCTTCCTCTTTTTCTCTGACCCTCCATCTTACCCAGCATGACATCCTCCTCCAGTGACTGCTCCCTCCTGACAATATGTCCAAAGTATGAGACACGAAGTCTAGCCATCTTGGCCACCAAGAAGCACTCTGGCTGCATTTCTTCCAAAACAGATCTATTGGTTCTTTTGGAAGTGCATGGCACTTTTAGTATTCTCCTCCAACACCACAATTCAAAGGCATCAATTCTTCTATGATCTTCCTTATTCACTGTCCAGCTTTCGCATCCATATGAGGTTATTGAAAATATCATGGTTTGGGTCAGGACCTTAGTCCTCAAGGTGACATCTTTGCTCTTCAATACTTTAAACAAGTTCCTGTGCAGCAGATTTGCCTAATGCAATACGTCTTCTGATCTGTTGAATGCTGCTTCCGCAAATGTTGATAAAGTCCTTGACAACTTCAATCTTTTCTTTGTTGTTAAGAATGTTGTTTATTGGTCCAGTGGTGAGGATTTTTGTTTTCTTGACATTGAGATGTAATCCATACCGAAGGCTGTGTTCCTTGATCTTCATCAGTAAATGTTTCAAGTCCTCTTCACTTTCAGCAAGCAAGGTTGTATTATCTGCATATCACAGGTTGTTAATGAGTCTTCCTCCAATTCTGATGCCGCGTTTTTCTTCATAGAACCCAGCTTCTCAGATTATTTGCTCAGCATACAGGTTGAATAAGTATGATGAAAGAACACAACCTTGTCGCACACCATTCCCAATTTTAAAACATTCAGGGTTCCCATGCTCTGTTCGAACAACTGCTTCTTGGTCCAGGTATAGATTTCTCAGAAGCACAATTAAGTGTTCTGGAATACTCATACTTCTCAATGTTGTCCATAGCTTGTCATGATCCACACAATCTAAAGCCTTTGCGTAGACAATAAAGCATAGTTAAACATCTTTCTGATATTCTGTGCTTTCAGCCAAGATCCATCGGACATCAGCAATGATATCTCATAGCATATCCAGTTACAAACAAAAATGTTGCTGTCATTTTCTGTTGTTATTTTGGCAAGATAATGGCAAAACAACTTTTGGCTATGAATACAGGACATCAAACACATTGCTTTGGAAGGGAAAAAAATCATTACCAAACAATCATTTTGTCTTTTTAATGTTTCAAATTGCTTTATAGAAATGTTCATTCATGAAAACAGCCATCATGGAGATCTTTTAAAGCACCAGTAAATTTTTATTAGACAGGTTGTTGTTGTTAAGTGACATTGAGTCAGTTCCAAATCATAGCAATATAGGGTTTCTAAGGAACAGCTAGTGGTTTTGAACTGACAACCTGTGGTTCACAGACCAATGCTGATGTTACAGCTCCATACCAATAATCAGGCAAATCAATTTAAATATAGTAAATATATTCTTTTTTCCATGTTGCTCAGATAAAACCATTTGAGTCATCAAAATTTTCTGAGTAGACTTAGAAAGAGGATACATACCAGTTGACTCTCAGATACTGTAGAAGATGGTGAGGCGAGATTGGCCTGCAAAATATAAACATTACATTCATTAAATGCAATTCATACTGTAGTAAAGTAGTATATCTATGTTTTAAAGTAAGGATTCTTCATAGCAAATTGTTTAAACTACTCAGCTGCTAACCAAAAGAATATTGTTGCTGTTGTTAAGTGCCATTGAGTTGGTTCCAAGTCATAGTGACTCTATATAGAGTTTCAAAGGAGCGACTGGTAAGTTTGAACCTTCAACCTTGTGGTTCAAACCAACTTTATGGTCCAGTGCCACACCAGGACTCCAATCAATAGAGTAGTGGTTCAAATCCACCAGTCACTCCATGGTAGAAAGATGTGACAGTCTTCTGTAAAAATTTACAATCTTGGAAAAAGCCTATGGGATAGATCTACATTAGGATTGCTTAGAGTTGGAATGAACTTGACAGAAGTGCATATGTTTTAAATTATTCTGAAGTTCTTTTATTATTAATCAAAAATTGGGGTTTTGAAAGGATGTTGTTGTTGGTAAGTGTCCTTGAGTGGAGTCAGACAGGACTCACAGGGACCCTATAAATGGTTTCCAAGGAGCAACTACTACATTTGAACCACTAACTTTGCATTTGCAGTCTAGTGCTTAACCTATAGTGCTACACCAGCACTCCTTAAAAAAGGATAGGAAAGCATGAAGAAAAGGTAAAATATCAGTATGCAAACAAATATTTTGTAGTTAACTTTTTGTTTTTCCAGAACTTGTCTCAAATTCTTTCCTTATCATTGGTTTTGGATTATGATATGTTTTGATTATGATATGTCTTGGTGATTTTCTTGTGGCTTTGTCTGTCTTGTCCTGGTGTAGTTCTGTGGGCTAATGCACTGAACTGCAAAATTGGTTTGAACTACAAGGTCAGTGTCTTTCATGATATTAGAAATTTTTTCTCCCAACTGCTCTACGAGATTTTCTCTGTGCTTTTTTTATTTTTTTTACTCTTCCTGTTCTTGAATTCTGATAAAATGTAAGTTATTCCTCTTGATTGTGTCCCATATAATTCTTAGGCTTTCTTAAGACTTTTTTGTTCTTTTCCTTGATTGTTCCTCTAACAGATCAAAATTGAAAAATTTGCCTTAAAGCTCACTAATTTGACCTTTCATTGATTCAGTTCTACTCCTTTGCCAATTCAGTGTTTATCTATTTCTGAGATCTTAATATTAATCTTCTATATTTCTCTTTATTGTTTTTGTATGACTTCTAATTTTTTAGTTCTTTTGTCAATTTGTTCTTTTGTCAATTTGTTCTTGTAATTTTTTTTTTAATTCTTCTAAAGTTTTGCCTTCTTTTTCCTTGATTCTGTCTACAGCATTCACAATCTTGCTCTATCCAATTTTGTTGTTGTTATGTGCCATCGAGTCAGTTCTGACTCACAGAGACCCTGTGTAGGGTTTCCAAGGAGCAGCTAGTGAGTTTGAACAATAGACCTTGCAGTTCAAACTGACCTTGAGATAAAGCACTTATCCTATGACATCAATCCATTAGTGGTACCTACATATTATTCTTTTAAATTCTTTATTTGGTATTTTGAGTGCAATTTTTTCCCCCAGAAAATTCTTCCAGGTCCATACATTAGTCATTTGTTTGAGACACTCTATCTTGATCTTCATGGGAATTGACACTGTCTGCTTTCTACAAGACCTGTAGTGTGTATTTGTATTTAATTAATGATTGGACATTGGTGTGTTCTTAGATACTCAGCACCTATCTCTTGATGGTGTAAAAGAATGTGAGCGTGTGCACAGTTCTCTATTCAGTGTTCATGTAGAACAGCACAACTATTTTTGAATTATTGCAATTATAATGTAATAATTAAATCATTCCTATGCATTTTTATTTCATTCACATAATAGTTCAGTGACATTTTAAATTATGCTTTTACTCTAATTTTTTCTATCATAACTATCACAAAAGTATTACCACAAGTATTAACGAAAAATTAATCAAGGTTTCATATTTCATTCTTTGTATACTTCATATTCCAATTAAATGTAAAAGCATTGCTCAACATTTATGTTAACTTAAGGAGCTCTGATAGCACAGTGGTTACGAATCAGGCTGTTATCCTCAGAGTCAGCAGTTTGAAACTACCAGCTGTTCCACAGGAGAAAGATGAGGCTTTCTGCTCCCGTAAAGATTTGCAGCCTCAGAAACTCTGTGCAGGGTTGCTATGAGTCGGAACCAACCAACTCCATGGCCCATAACAACAACAACAATATAACAAATTGGTAATATATATATATATATATACATGTATTTCTCATTTAAGTATATTTATTTAAAAAGGAAAACAAATTTTTCATGATTTGAAAAATGGAAATTATTTCTTTTTAAAAATTGTTTTGAAATGTGGTTAAGAGTCTTTCCTCATCCTTGGCTTATATATTTTAATCCATTCATCTGAACTTGATTTTCTCTTACTGAAGTAAATGCTTTGGTGGTTTTTCCTTATTTTAGCTCACTTTGAAATGTTGTTATTTAACCTCATTTTTGAATGTCATGACTCATCTGTCCGTTTGTGGTACTGTGGAGGCTTGTGTGTTGCTTTGATGCTGGAAGCTAAGTTCTCACTCACATATGCCAAGGTAACTAAAAAACAAGCATGGTTATGGTCACCCATTTTAGACAGGTTTCAGTGGAGCTTCCAGACTACAATAGACTAGGAAGAAAGAGAGGCAAACTACTTCTGAATGTTTACACACAGAAAACCTCAGAATAGCAGCAGAGCATTGTCAGAATAGTGCTGGGAAATAAACCCCTCAGGTTGCAAAGCATTCAAAATACAACTAGGTAAGAGCTGACTCCTCAAACTAGACTTGACCATAATGACATGAATGAAGCAATGTTTCCTAGACTTGATGGGGCATAACTCAAAATGAGGAAAAACACCTGCAAACATTCATTAATAAATAGAATGTGGAATGTACATTTGAAACTAGGAAAACTGGAGGTTGCCAAAAAAGAAAAAGAATGCATAACTATTGATACTCTAAGCAATAGTGAGCTGAACTGGACAGGTATTGGCCATATTGAACCAGACAGACATATGGTTTACTATGCTGAGAAGGTCAAATTAAAAAGAAACGGTGTTGTATTCATCATCAAAAAGAACATTTCACCTGGAGCGGCTAGAAGAACAGAAGATACTTCTTGAAAGAAAGACCAACAGGAAAAATACAAAACCATAATGGCAGTACAACTGACTACTACAAGAACAAGTAAGTTGCTCACCCAGGAGACATCAAGGCAAGTGGTTGGGTCCCCTCAGGGAAAACCCCCTTCCAAAACTCAATGGGAATACACGAGCAGACATACGCTCTGACTGGTGACCACGCTGGTCACTGATAAGAGGAATTGAGGGAAAAACAGCAATGAAGCTGCAAGCTAAGCCTTACCACATTCAATAGAATCCTATGAACCCAGGTGGAAACCTCATTACCAGCAATATAGCAAGACCTGGGGACTTCTGGGCCCAGAGTCAGTGACATTGCCACAGAGGACTAGAGTGGAGAGTGAAGCATCCAGCTGATAAGAAGAGAGGGCATAGGCACAAGAACACCCATACTTGCAGATAATACCCACTTGACCTAGCTTCAATGGCTGGATGATCAGAACTCAACTAGAAGAAGAAAGAAAAGGAAAAAAAGAGTAATCTGATACAATTTGATGAACTTGACATACACCTATGGATGCAGTAGCTCAAAAGAGGGAACAAATATTTACAGCGAGGATCATCCCCACCCCTTCCATACACAGGGTAGACAGGGATGGGCAACTTGGACATTAACTACCCAAAATGTGAGGGGGCTACAAAGGCAAGAAGTGACTGGCTTACAAACTTTCAAGAGGGAGCCTAGATCCAGAGGTTGTGGCGGAAGGTAGAATCTCCACTGACTAGTCTCCAATCTATCTGGGTGGGGCTGATGAAAGGAGATGGGGATAACACTCATGTGGCACAATAGTGAATAATTGTTATCATGACTGATTTTAAGTGTTGGCAATGTAAAGATAGACATTTTGTAGCAAAATGAGCAGAGTGATTGACTTTCCAGTCAATCAAGGGAGAAGAGCGGAGTGCAGGACCCTACCCAGAGAAATAAACAGTGATGCCAGAGATGGAGGCAGAGATGATGATGTGGAGAGATGGAGTGACTGGGGACTCTAGACCCAGAGAGGGAGAGGGGATATACCATTTGGTTGGTTGATGATGCATGGAGGGGATTGTAACCATGGCAATGAAATGATATATGATAGGATGAATGTAAAGCTGATGTTCTCCCATGTACAGTATCACATAATTCACAATAAAACATTAAAAAAAAATTTCAAGATCTATCTTGAACTACAATGCTGTATGTGATAGGATAATAGCCATACACCTAAAAGAAAGTCCAGTCAAAGCCATTACTATTCAAATTTATATACCAACCACTAAAGCCAATAGTGACAAAAATTGAAGAATTCCACTAACTTGTTCACACTGAAACTGATCAAACACGCAATCAAGATGCAGTGATTATTACTGGTGATTGGGATGGAAAACTTGGAAACAAAGTAGAAGGATCAATAGTTGGAAAACATGGCCTTGGTGATAGAAAAGATGCTGGTGGTTACGTGATAGAATTTTTCAAGATCAATGACTTATTCATTGCAAACACCTTTGTTAAACAACATAAAAGCAACTATACACATGGATCCCATCAGATAGAATGCACAGAATTCACACTGACTACAACTGGGAAGAGAATGGTGGAGAAGTTCAATGTCATCAGCCAAAATAAAACCAGGGACAACCGTGGAACAGACCATCAATTGCTCATTTGCAAGGCCAGGCTGAAGTTGAATAATACTTAAACAAGTTCACAAGAGCCATAACATGATCTTGAATATATCCACCAAAATTTGAATATCATATCAAGAACAGATTTGATGCTATAGACACTAAAAACCAAAGACCAGATGAGTTGTGGGATGACATCAAGAACAT